GGGCGGGTGACCGGTGTCACCCGCTGCGGGCAGCCGCGGCCGACAGCAACCCGGGACGGGCACCCCGCTCCGAGGACGGGCGGGTGACGCCGTGTCACCCGCGCCGGGGACGAGCGGGGCACAGCCGCGCACACACCCGCGCGCGCTGGGGGTGTCAGGCGGCCGGGCGTCACCCGCTCGCCGCCTGTGCCCACAGTACTACTACGACGCCGGGGCGCAGCGCTACCTGTACTGGGACGGCGAGCGGCGCACCTACGTGGTGGCGGCCGAGGCGGCGGCCGAGCCCCCCCGCGACCCCCCCGGCCCCCCGGGGCCCCCCAAGGAGCCCAAGGACAAGAAGGAGAAGCACAAGACCAAGACGGCCCAGCAGGTGGGGGCACCCGCGGGTGCTGCTGGGCGCTATAGCACCCGTGGGTGCTGGGGCGGCCCTGTAGGAGCTGGGGGTGCTGCTGGCGCCCTATAGCACCCGYGGGTGCTGGGGTGCCCCTGTAGGAGCAGTCGGTGCTGCCAGCGCCCTATAGCACCCATAGGTGCTGGTGGGATCTTATAGGAGCAATTGGTGCTGGTGCAGCCATATAGCACCCACGGGTGCTGGTGGGGCTCTATAGGAGCAATCTGTGCTGGTGCAACCATATAGCCTCTGTAGGTCCTGGGGCGGCCCTATAGCACCCATAGGTGCTGGTGCGATGCTATAGGAGCAGTCGGTGCTCRTGCGACTGTATAGCACCCGTGGGTGTTGGTGGGGCCCTATAGCACTCATAGGCATCCACCCAACCCTGCAGCGCCTGTGGGTGCTGGTGCAGCTCCATAGGACCCATGGGTGCTGGTGCAGCCCTATAGCAACCATAGGCACCCACCCAACCTCAACCATCCGCATGGCACCCGTGGGTGCTGCTCCCGCCCCGCGGCTCCCATGGGTGCTGACGGCACCCGTTGCAGATCGCCAAGGACATGGAGCGCTGGGCGCGCAGCCTCAACAAGCAGCGCGAGAGCTTCCGCAGCAGCTTCGCGCCCGCGGGCGCCCTGCGCGACGACGAGCGCCGCGAGTCGCCCACGGCCGACGCCGCCTTCGCCATCCTCGAGAAGAAGGTGCGGGGGCACCCATGGGTGCTGCGGCGGGCGTGTGGGGATGGGGGCACCCACGGGTGCTGCGGGGGCTGGGGAGCCCGTGGGTGCTGCGGGGGGACATGTGGGGATGTGTGGGGATGGGGGCACCCATGGGTGCCCCTGACCACACCCCATGTCCCCCCATAGGGAGCCCTGACCGAGCGACAGCACCCGGCCCTGGAGCTGCCCAAGCTGGCGAGCGAGGAGCGCCTGGTGAGCCCGGACGCCTGGGCCCCGCGGGTGGGGAGGGGTGTCCCGGACACTGGGGCCCTTCCTGGGCACCCAGGGGTGCTGCTCCCCATCCCCATGTCCCC